CCTTGTTTTTGAACATTTCTGTGACGTCACGTGAACAGACTCTATTTGTTGTTATTTATTTTATTTATTAAGCTTTGCCTAGTTATCTTGGGCAGGGAGACCACTACAGCCTTAGACAATTACAGTGGAACCCGCGTCAACAATGACGAGGCCAGACCCCCCTAATTCCCAGTAAACAGGCCAGACCACTTCACAGTAATCTCGTGAGTGGGTTCTTTAACGTCCCCTGCCTAACCAAATTAACTAATTAATAGAAGCAGGAGACGGGACCTACGGTTTATTTGTCCTTAGAATTTCTATCCATTTCTTGATATTATAGAAAGGTAGCACATTCTCCTCAGTTATTTTAAGACCTTAAGTGTTGGTCCAGCTGGAGCTCAAACCCTCGACCTCCCACACAACAGTCTGGGGCTGTAACCTATTGAGCCAACTGGGAGGTGGTTTGATCAAGTTAACACCTTTTACCTGATAAGTCTGCATTTTCTCATTACCTGTTTGCTGGATCACGTATGGGTATGATAGGGAGAAGTTACAGTACGCGTTAATTTCTTCGGGGAATTAAATTCTTTATTTATTTTATGTCTCCTTCCCCTAACTCCCATAACACATGTATCAGGGCTTCTGTGGTGATGTGACGGTGAAAATTCACACAATTGGTTCAGAATTCATTTGATTTTTTTGCACAATCAAAACAAATCTCATGATAAGAGAAAATTCTTTAAAACTAATGTGGACTCTAGAAGTGTGTAAGATCTAAAGTGTAGCTGAGTTCTGTAAACCTCAGAATACAAGCATACATGTACTTCAACAATCTTTTCTGGTCTTCTTTCTCATTATTTTTTCAATCATTGTCATAAGTTCTGCTCTACATGAGGTGCAAGTGCACGAATCATATTTATTTTGTCTCTCAGTTAGTTCATGCATTAGGATTGGCCAATTTAGTGGGGCATATTTTACTCTATGGCCTGCTAATGTCAACAGTCTGTTTGAATTGAAAATCCCCCCTTCCTGTTTTAACCCAGAGATGTAAGAAATATTTTATAAACTTTGTTTTCTTGGTTTATACTTTAAGTTACGTAACTTCATTTTTCCAGTCTGTGACATACAGTGTGGACCTAAAACTCGGTTATTTAGAAGTATACATGTATGTGTGTTTAGACTGTATGCTGTATTGTATCTAGAATTGTTACTTATACATGCTTTTGATTAGATTTAAATCAAAGACTAGTTTCTGCTCTAGAAGAATAGTTACTGCTGCAGATTAGTGGATATTACAATTATGGTAGAAATTAACTAAGTGTTATTTTCCAATTTGCTTTGGTTCAATTTAGAGAATCCATTCTCAAGTCCATAGAAAAGAAGTTAAACTCTAGTGATCTCAACGACTATGATCTGTTAATGGCAGCAACAGTTTATTACAACGAACAGGTACAGATCCACCTTCAAATTCTCCTTATTGATCTCATAGATTTTCTCATGCTTTTGACCTTTGGCTGTGGAACATCAGTATTGTAGTTCTCCATATTGTATATATCTTATTAACCAAGCGCGAGGGC